ATTTATTTATTTTTCTTAATTTGCCTATCAATCCCAGGCCCCTCTCCCTCCTTCCCTCCTTCCCTCCCTCTCTTCCACCCTCACATGTGCCCCGGGTACCCTCCCATTCCACCCCCCTCTACAGGGAGGGTGATGCCTTCCAGGAGGGGTCAACAAAATCTGTCAAGTCATTTGGAGTAGGAACTAGGACCTCCCTCCTGCCTCTAGGTTAAGGGAGTATCCCTTCATGGGGAATGTGCTCCCATGTTGAACACAAGGGATACATCAGAGGTCCCTTAGACTGCCCAGGCCTTCTAACTGAGACCCATGTTCAGGAGTTCTGAGTCGGACCAATGCTGGTTTCCCAGCTATCAGTCTGAGGGCCCATTGGCGCCTCCTTGTTCAGGTGAGCTGTCTCTGTGGGTTTCTGTAGGTCTTGTCCTCCCTCTCTGTATCTGGATTCCAATTCAACTCAGTGTTTAGCTGCGGGTTTCTGCTTCTGTTTCCATCAGCTACTAGATGAGGGCTCTATGATGGTGGATAAGTTAGTCATCAATCTCATTATCAGGGAAGGCATTTATGGTAGCCTTTCCACTATTGCTCAAATTGTTAGTTGGGGTCAGTCTTGTAGGTCTCTGGACATTTCTGTAGTCAGTTTTCTCTTCAAACCTATAATGGCTCCCTCTTTTATGGTATAGAGCAAAGGATCACCAGCCTATAATTTACACCACCAGATAAACTAGGATACAAGGAAGAATCTAAGAGATTCATACAAGGTCCCTCACAGAAGGGGAAAGGAACAAGATCTCCTGAGCATATTGGGAGGTAGGGGGGCCAGTGAGTGGAGAGGGAGCTAGGAGAAAGAGAAAGGAAGGAGAGGAAAGCACGTGGGACTAGGAAGTTTGAGTCAGGGGAGGAAAAAAAAAGAGAGAGAGAGATCAATACTTTTCTTTAGCAGAATAGTAGTATTTGGCTTTCCCCTGGGTCCTCCTGGGTTATCTGATCTCAGGTTCTTGGCCACCCAAATGGCATTGGGTATGGATTCCATCTCATGGTATAGGCCTAAAATCCAATCAGATATTGGTTGGTTACTTCCACAACTTTTGTGTCACCATTGCACCAGTGTATCATGTAGGATATTACGAGCAGTTTGCCACCAGCCTGGTTCCTCAGCCGCATCAGCCCCAAATAACACACAGGGATGCTGTATTAGATATAAAACTGTTGGCCTGTCATTAGCATTTCCTATAGGGTAGCTTTGTCTTAAATAATAACCCATATCTATTAATCTAAGTGTTTCCATGTGGTCTTGGTTTACTGGAGAAAGGGTGTGGACCTCTTCTCCCAAGTCCCTACATCTTGACTCTCCTCTCCTACATCCTCCTTGTCTCATAGTCCCACCTCTCTTGCCTTCCTATTCGCCAATAGTACTTCATTCATTAACCAATAAGGGAAACATATTTACAGAATGACATCTCCCATCAGTAGGCAGGTCACTATTAAGGAGATGGAAGGATTTATAGCAAGGTAGTGTTTATGTTTCTCCTCTGAAAGCATGCAGAACAGCTTCCAGTATCATGAACATTATTCAATGGGGATGAAGGCTCTGGTTAGGTCCCAGCTCAACTTCTCCATGTTTAATGAAATATGTATGTTAAGTTCTATCTTTAGCAATAGGACTTTATCAGCAAGATGGAATATTAAAGAGATTTTAATTTTATTTAATTGATGGCTAAGGATATTGGATAATTTTTCAAGTGTTTATTAGTCATATGTATTTCTTCTTTTGAAAATTATTTAATTCATTCACCTATTTACTATTTGTGTGGTCTGTTTTCTTGGTTTTTATTACAGTTATTTATGAACTTTATACATTAATTCCCTGTCTGATATATGGTTAGCAAATATTCTTTTCATTCTGAAGATCACCTCTTCACTCTGAACAGTTTGCTGTGCATAAGCAAACTACCTCAGGCTGAAAGGGCTGATCCCGCTGCCTCTCCTCAGCATGGCTGGAGAATCCTGAGACTGAATGTCTTCCCATCCTCAATGTGGCTGGAGAATGAATGCCTGATACTGAGACCCTGCTCCTGTCTTATATATCTCATATATATCCCTAATGCTGGGCGCAATCCTGGGTGCTGAGATCATCTTTGGTTTTTGTTTTGGTTTTTGTTTGTTTGTTTTGGTTTTTTGAGACAGGGTTTCTCTGTGGCTGTGCTGGAACTAGCTCTTGTAGACCAGGCTGGCCTTGAACTCACAGAGATCCACCTGCCTCTGCCTCATGAGTGCTGGAACTAAAGGCGTGCGCCACTACCACCTGACTATTTTGTTTGTTTTGTTTTGTTTTTCTGAGATCATCTTCATATGAGTTGTTTCTCTTTAGAACTGGACCAATCTTGTGTATATCTGGGTGGGCTTAAACTCACAGAAATTCATCTACTGCTTAATCCTGAGTCCTAGATTTAAAGGTGTGTACCAATACCTCCTAGTTTCTGGATGCTTGGATTAAAGGTGAGTATCACCACTGCCTGATCTCTATAGCTTGAGTCTGACTTTGCTGTTCTGAATCCTCAGGCAAGCTCTAATAAATCATAAATAATATATCACTACAAAAGACACAATTTCTAAGAGGACTCCATTTTTCCTGTTGTTTAGGCAATATATGCAAATTCCTTGCATTTGCTACAGTCTCAGCCTAGAAACCAGTGTAAAAGATCACCAGAATCGCCAATCCTACATCCTACACCACCTGGACAAACCAATGCTAGTAAGAAGAAAGTCTCTACTCCATTTATAGGTACACAATTACATGTTTATACCAAAAAAGCTAAAAAGTAACAGCATGTAATTTACAGTATAAATGTTAAAAAAAAATAAGACCAAGGAATAGCACTGTTTAGTTGTATATACATATGTCATTATTTTGTAATGTCTATTACTATTATAAAAATGGTAAAGTCTGGATTCCTTAGTCCTCCGCTTATTTCAAATGCATTTACAAGTTATTTTATTAGGTCCAGTCTGGTGCTACTGGGATCCAACCAGGACAGAACCAAAGACTTCTGCTTCTGGCCAAAAACAAGAATTAAAACTGTTTGCTTTTAGGGTACTTGCTCCCAATATGCCTAATCTGTTTCTATTTCCTGTCTTCATCCCTGCTTGGAAATTAAAGTTTACAAAAGACTTGTCAGGCAAAATTCTCCCTAAGGAGCACAAAGATAGTATAAACTTAATTAAGCATTTTAATTACGCTTATACTGTGTGCTGGTTATATGCTTTTATGAATGTCCATGCAGAGTTTGGAGTTTGCCCTACTGGGTTTCGGTCTAGCTTTGGTCCAGTATTTTCTCACTATGCTCCCTTCCCTCCCTTTTGGAATGGTAATGTGTATTCTGTGCCATTGTATGTTGAAAGTACAACAGCTACTTGTTTTTGTTTTGTTTTGTTTTTCGAGACAGGGTTCCTCTGTATAGCTTTGGAACCTGTCCTGGTACTTACTCTGTGGACCAGGCTGGCTTCAAACTCACAGAGACCCACCTGCCTCTGCTTCCCAAGTGCTGGGACTAAAGGCATGTGCCACCAATACCTGTATCATGAGCTGCTTTTGTAATTTTACAGGAGGTTACAGTTAAGAGACTGCCATAAATCTCAAAGAGACTTTGGACTTTAAAGCAGTCTTGAGACTGAAAGAGCACAGGGGCTTTTGAAGTTGGACTGAATGCAGTTTACATTATGATATGGCCACAAGCCAGTGGGGGCCAGGGAGTGGAGTGTGGTGGTTTCATTGAGAATGGCCCAACAGGCTAATGTATTTGCATCCTTAGTCCGCAATTCAGGAACTGTTTGGAATAGATTAGGAGGCATGACTTTGTTGGAGTTGATGTGTCACTGAGGGTAGTGTTTGAAGTTTCAAAAGCCTATACCAGCACCAACCAGTACCACTGTCTTTGCCTGGTGCCTGCCAATCAGGATGTGAAGCTCTCAGCTTCAGCTACAGCACTATGCCTGTCTGCTTCCTGCCTTCATTATGGACTAAGCCTCTGAAACTGTAAGCAACCCTCCCCCACATGCTTTCTTTTATGAGCTGTCTTGGTCATGGTGTGTCTTCACAGCAGTAGAGCTGCTACTCAGACAGTATGTGTCTAGGATCATTTAAAAGAGCAATAAAATTCTGGAGTGGCCACTAGGTATACCTGGAAGAATTCAGCCTTGAAGACTTCTTCATGCCATCTGGTAAGATCTATTTGCTATCTGCTAAGTGACTTCTCTCCACACCAACATTTTTGACTATCCCAGGCTTCCTAATGGTTATGTGACTATATATAGTAGAAATCCTTAAAACACCCTTTTCTGGGCTGGAGACACGCTCACTTAGTAAAGCATTTGCCTAGCCTAGGTGAAGTCCTGGATTCCCCTGCACTGCATAAAACCAGGTATGCCAGTGCATGTCAGCGATCTCGTACTTGGGAAGTAGAGGCAAAACTATCAGAAGGAAGCTCAAGTCCATCCTCAACTACATAGTGAATTTAGGACCAACCTTGGCAACATGAGACCCTATATCAAAAACATAAAAACAACAAAAAACAAAAAACAAAAACAACTCTTTTCTTCATAAAAAACTCTCTCAAGACTACTTCTATGTTTACACTGTCTTAGCTGAACACTGAAGTATAGATCTGTCTTTTCTTTTATCTTGTCCACTCAAGAATTGTGGGTGGCACAAGAACTCAGTGGTAAGAGCACTTACTGATTTGATTTTGATTGCCAGCACCCACATCATGCAATTCACAGTTACCTGTATCTCCAGCTCCAAGGGGATCTAGTATTGCTGGCCTCCATGGTCACTAACATAACACACACACACACACACACACACACACATAAGGGTCAACAAGCTACTACAGATTTGCCACTACACTAAAAGTTTCTATGTTATTTTAAACAATAAGATACTTCATACAGACAATTTCTAGGTAACATAACACTTACGCACCTTTTACGAAAATCTGTAATTTCAGATCAAAATGAAAAGAGAGCTAAGAAGTCCATGTATTCTACAGACCACTCAGCAGATTCTATTGAAAAAGGGTAATTTATTTTTAAAATGTTAATATCTTTACACTGTTCAGTGATGACTCTAGTAGAACAAATTTTGCTTTGTGTAACACAGAAGAATGATTTTTTTTTTCCTGGCTTATTATTAACACTTATTCTCACAGTACCATCAATGGAGGAGTCCCAGGCTGGTCAGCTAATGGGCATCCCATCTAGACCAGGGCACAGTCAAGTGAAATCAGAGAAAATAACTGTTTTTTGCAGTGGGCACCAATTTAGTTATGCTTGCACATGGAGGTGAAAGAGTGATTTCTTTATTTTTTTGTATGACGTCTACATTCTTATCATCATCATCTGCGTAATGGACAGAAGTTCTACCTGCAACTTTGGAGCAATGATGGATGGGCTCTTTGGGCTTGACTCACCCTTCTGTTTCTTTCCAAGACAGTATCTGCTGAGTATGCATGAGTGAGACCCTTGATGAACTTTGGGAGAAGGAAATCAAGGTACTGGACCAGGATCAGAGCCAGATCTCTCATACTGCTGATTATCTGTGGCTCTTGAACTCATGATCAGTTCTCCATGAAGTTGGTCAGGGTCCACTCTGAGGTCTCACAGATAGGACAGGCATTCTGAGGCTCTGCCATCTCTTTCATCCCTGCCCTCTTGGAATAAGGCTATCTACCTCATCTTGGCCAGATCTGTGGTATGGGTTACCTCAAAAGCCTTAAATGGCAAGCCCGCTTCCCACATAAATCAAAGGACATCAGAGAGGAAAACTCTTTTGCTCTTTGTGCCTGTGCACCCTGTTGTTTCCTCTTAACTAACTTGTTAAAAAGCCAGGCCAGGCCTTTAATCCCAGCAATGGGGAGGCAGAGGCAGGCTGATCTCTGTGAGTTCAAGGTCAGCCTTTTCTACAAAGCTACACAGAGAAACCCTGTCTCGAAAAACAAAAACAAAACAAAAAACAACCAAAGGCTCTGTTAGATGCCTCTCTTCCCATAGTGCTCTACTCAGCCCACACAGCAAGCTCCCCACTCAAAATCCAGGCACCCAGACAACTGTTGGGCTTCCTCTGCTTCTGCTGTTTCTCCCATAAACCAGGCAGGGAGGAGGTGGCCTTTTGGGGTTGATTGATGTCTACTGGATCAGTGGGGCTGTTGGCTGTAACTTCTAGAGTGAGAGAACTGATTAGCTAAAATCACCCCCTATAAACTGATGCCTAAATTATATTCATTTTCAGAAAGAAACATCATCCATTGGTAAATGATTTGATTACAAAAGAAAATGAGTCAGCCAGCGATAACCAAGCAAGAACATCTTGTCCAGTAAAACAGAATGCCTTACTTCCCTTGCACTTTGAGGATGTACTGAAAAATCCCACAGTCAAGATAATTGACCTTGCTCCAAAAGAGACAGTGCTTTGTTTTATGGTAATATCTACTACTAAATCCCACAAGCCTCTGGGAAGGCTAGAGACATTGGGACTCGAAATCTATCTTTCAGGAGTCATCCAAATACAACCCACTCTTCTTTACTGAGTCTATGCTACAGTCACAGATTATAGCTAACAACTTTGATGCTGGAGAGAAGGAACACTTTTTAAGATCTCTATAGCTTTTGCAATCACAAACAGACTAGTTTCTACCCACAATCTCTACCTAGCTTTTCATGGTAACTCCTTCTAAAGTGTATAGGTGATCTGATTAGCAGAGCTTAAGTCCCATACTCTAATTCCAAGAAGGCTGAAGAAAATAGTTTCTATCTGACAATGTATGGATTTACAGCAGCGGTTCTCAAACTGTGGGTTTTGACTACTTTGGGGTCACTTGTCAGATATGCTGCATAACATATATTTACACTATCATTTATAACAATAAATGTTATGAAGCAGCAACAAAATAATTTTATGGTCATGAGTCATCACAACATGAGGAATGGTATTAAAGAGTTGCAAAGCATTCAGGAGGTTGAAAATTACTGACATATGGTGGGAATTGCCTACAGTGTTGAATAAACTGAAATGAATGCAAAGGCCACTATCGTGGCTAAGTTGGCATTTTTTTTTTTTTATCATCAAAGTATAGTAAAACTGGTTCTCTAGGCATCTTTTCAGGCAGCCATTGGGATACATTTCATGCTAAGAACACTTGTATACCATCAATCTAATTTTGAATTTTGTCCTGGGAAAGACCACCCCTGCCTCACGGCCTTTGGTTCCTGCTCTGCTCCTGTCTTAATTTAGTCTACAAAGAGACTTCCCAGCTGTAGCTAACACAAGACACCGACCTGCCCAATGTCTAGGGGACCTCAGGCTGAGGAACCAGACAGGCTCCACTCATTCAACTGAATGGAGCTGTAGGCCCAAGGCAGCAAATGTCAGAGTTTACTGTGGAAGAGAAAAGCTCTGTCTCAGTTGAGAGGTCCCTTACCAGTCCATCTCCCAGTCCAGACATCCTGTAATAGTGCCTAACCAACCCTTTGTGCCAGCTTCAACCACCCTGACTTCTTGTCCTAAGTCTTCCCCAGTAAGCACAGCCCCCTTTTTCAGTGGCCAGGAAGAGAGGCATAATGTTCCATCCCAGATATGGTTGCTGGGGTTTAAGTCCTAGTGAAATAAATAGTCATAAGAAAAGAGGCTTTTATGAGGTGATTACAGCATCTCTCAGGAAAAGGTCCACATGCTTACAAAGGACTCCAGGGAGCTGACTGGGCTGTTTTTGCCTTTATATTTCCTGTGCAAGGATATGGAGAAGTGCCAACTATAAAGTACAGACCAGACACCAAACCCATTCCATCTTTGAGTCTGAACTTCCTGGCCTTCAAAGCTGTGAGAAATAAGTCTCTATTTTTTATTTACTTATTTATTTTTTATGTAGAAATTATTGACTTGAGATTTGCAAAGCAAATACTGGCAATATGCCTATTTTACTAATTTCCATGGAATTGATTTTTTTAACCCCAAGAAAGAAGTATGGATTGGGAAAATTAATTATGCCAATGTGGGAGTAGTAATTAAAAATACTTTTATAGATTTTGCTATTACTATAGCAAGGCAAGTTCTATCATTATATCTATATCTATTACTTTGCCCACTTTATTCAAATATATATTAAACACTTTTACCAAGTATTGTAGTTAAGTCCTAAAGTACAATTCTAAACATCCCAATAATAGACATAATTCAAATTTTTAAAATTGGAACAGCCATACATGATCATTTGGGCTTATACTCATTATATCTCTTAGGATCTTTGACTCAACCCATTTTAGGGTTATGTTTCTTTTATTCCTAGAGTATGGGCATTTAATAAATTCCCACAGTGTTCCTTCTTACTAACCCTCTTCTCTCAATTCCTAATGCCCCACAAAATTAAGTACTCACTTCTGCGTACCTCACCTTATTTCAGAAAGGATATAAGAAGGCTAAGGCTTCAAATTTTGAAAAGGAAACGTGTCACAGAAAAGCACCTGCTTTTAATGTATTTGAATGTTATTCTTGTTGCTATCATGTACCTCTATATTTAAGATATTTTACAAATTTATTTTCATGCTTAAAATATATATATATATACACATATATATATCTTTGCCTCAACAAGCTTATGACTCAGTGTCCTTTGTCTTTTTTTTTTTTTAACTATATAGGAAGAAAGCCATACAAATCCGATAATTTTCCATGACACAGCATACATAGAAATGTTGTTCCTGGCAAAGAGGTTCACTCCCTATGTTATGACATATACAAGAAAGAACCTTGTCCTAGAAAAAAACTGGGAAATGTTGAAAGGTTTATTTTATGATCAACCCAGTATTGTTTCTAAACCTCAAAGACCTAAGCCTGTAGTGCAGTACAAGGAATTGACCTTGTTCTCTACTCAACGGGTGCAAAAGAGTATAAAGGAGAAACGGAAGAAGAAACACGACAGTCTGGCTTCCAAAAACACACCTCCGGACACATTTTATAATTTATCCCGAACTATTTCCAACATCACCAAAAGATTTGTGGGTTACTTTGAAATAGATGCTACTCAAGAAAAGAGTGCTATAACAGATGAATTTGAAAGGATATTTTCCAAAACAAAACCACCACCCACACGCAAATTCACTACCTTACCCATCAAGTATGAGTCAAAGCCTCTGAAAAATACAGTTGAAATACGTAAACTAAACAACATAACCCCACTAGATAATCTGCTAAGCTGGAAAGTCAATAACTGATAAAGACTCGTTTATGCAGCAATATTCAAAAACAAGAAGAACCAAATTCCAAGATCATAGATGACGATGGATGAAGTACACAGCCAGGAGTTGTCTGTTTAAGATCAACCAACGTTCTTAGTTAGCTTAAGGATGGAATTAGGGAATTAACAACGAGAGAGATTAATTTATGACTTAGTTTTGGTCGTGAGCCTAGCTTTTAATGGTTGAGCCATCTCTCTAGCCCATTCATGGCTTATCTCACTTAGAGTTATCAGACATCCCTGTTGGCTACAAGACATTCTCATTCAGTACCAGCTATGGTATACACTGATGAAAAAGTTGCTGTCAGAAAACATCAATAAATGATTGAATATCAAGACAGATGTACCATTGATTCACTGAATAATGAGTCAATAGTAGTCAGCATTTTAAAGGCTCTTGGGAAAACGGTGCCATGCAAGCAATGTATGTGATTAAAAAGGCTTCATAAAACCTATTAGAACTGTGTGCAACTTCATGACTGTATTGTGTTTTCCAGGCATTCTTTCTGGGTTGTAGAATAACTTAAATGAGTAAAGTCTGCAAGTGAGATGCTATCAACTGTGGAGTATTCTAAAATACATTGTTTCACATTACTTTTACCCTTTCTTGTTGACTCAAACAGTATGAAGACAGAACTCTCTTATGAACACCGTTAAGTTACTCCCAAGTTCATTTGGAATACACTTCTTTGAGGCCCCACATATTTTTCGCTTAAAAACCGTCTTTGAAGGCAAGTGGCTAGGCTCTCGACCTGCAACACATTTCTTGAATGCACGAAATCCTTGGTCCAATTCTCAGCATGCCAAAAGTAAATAAATAAATAAAAGCTGGTGGTGATAAATTCCAAGATTAACTCACAAACCCACAAAAGACTGTTTAACTTATAATTTTAGCACATAGAATTTAATGTGAAAATAAGTAATGGTTTATTAGTTCCAATAACTAAAAGGAAGCACTAGGTAAGAGAAGGGTCTTCCAGAGTTGACTAGGACTTGATGACAACCAGGTTGGATTAGAGGTACCCAGGTAATAGAAGTTGGAGGCCAGTGGCTCAGCTGCGACCAGGCGGGGCAGGAATCTATGGAGGTGACTGTGCTACAGCAGCCAAGACACTCAAGTCACCTTTCTCACACCCCACCCCCCAGTCTTTTCTCACTGTCTCCATTTTGCCCATTTTCTTTGTTTTCTGTTGGCTATAGAGCACAATACCCCCCCCCCCCCACCACCAACTCCCATACTAGGTCTGAAGCGAAAACAGACTCTTTGGAAGTGTCATCAAGAAAACCAAGAAATGGAACATACTTAGTAAGAGAACAAGGGGCAGGGATATGATTCCCATAATCAGCATTAAAAAAAAAAGAAAAAAAGATGTGTGGGTCTTAGAGAAGACAGGAATGAGTGTGTGAAAGCACCAAAGTCTCAGTTTACTGTATCCCCACTCAAGGTGGGGTTTAAGACAAGATTGCTTCAAGATTAAGTAAAGCATTATCTAGTATTTTGAGCATTATAGCATTAAATAAAATGTTCTTTCTATCCCACTCCCCCTTATGCTTGCTCATGATAGGACTTTTTCTCTGGAGATGGGATCTGAAGCAGAGACCATGGAGGAACAGGGCTTGTTCCTAATGGCCTGTTCAGCCTTCTTTTTTACACAACCCAGGACCACCTGCCCAGGAATGTCACCATTCACCATTGGCTGGGCCCTCCCATATCAATCATTAATAAAAAAAAATATGCCCCCACAGACTTGTCTATGGGCCAATCTAAGGGAGGCATTTCCTCAATTGAAGTTCCTCTTGCCCAGTGATGCTAGCTTGCGTATGGTTGACAAACATATCTAGCCATGACAATAACCATGGGCAAGTCATGGAAAAGTCTATTTGGGCTTATGACTCCAGAGAGAGAAGAGTCTTCATGGCAGGAAGCTATGACAGCAAGTGGCAGGCATAGAAAGCTAAAAACTCGGATCTTTAACCACCACAAGCTTGAAGCTGAGAGAGCACATTAAAAACAGGCAAGGCTCTTTACTGTCAAAGCCTACCTCAAGTGGCATATTTCCTCCAACAATGCCACAGCATCTAAGCCTCCTCAATCAGAGGCATTGACTTGGGACCAAGTGTTCAAATACCCAGGACCAAGGGAGGCACTTCTCATTCAAGTCACTATATATATAGTGAGTAGAAGGCCAGTCCAGAATACATCAGAAGAGCCTATCTTAACATCCATGCCCTACAAAGGAAAAAGGCTTTAAATATAAAAATGACATTTTTGCATGTGTGTGGATGAACTCCTTTAATCCTAGTCCTTGGCAGACTAAGGCAGTATGATCATGAGTTCAAGACTGGCTTGAGTTACAGAGTAAGATCAGAGCTCAAAAACTGTTGCAGAATATTTGTAAGATGTGTCTCTGCCTAGGGAACCTTTTGATTGATTTAAATAAAGAGATAAATGGCCAACAGCTAAGCAGGAAAGAATATGCTGGACTTTGGGCAGAGGGAGAGAAACTGGGAGGAGGAATCGATTTCCCCAACAGACTTGGAGCAAATTGGGTGTGCCATTCTAAGAGGCACCTGAGCCACATGGCAGAACGTAGATTGATTATATAGAGAGCTTGTTCCAAGACAGGCTCCAAAGCTACACAGAGAAACCCTGCCTTGAAAACAACAGCAACAACAAAAAACAAACCAAACAAACAAAAATGGGTTAATTAAATTACAAGAGCTAGCTGGGGAAAAGCCTAAGATAAGGTCAAGCTTTCATAATAAGTCTCTGGTCATTATTTGTGGGCTGGTGGTCCAAAGATAGTCCAACAAGAAAGCTTGCTACAAAAAAAAAAAAACAAACAAACAAACAAAAAAGCAAACATATTTGCTCAGGGACTCAGTTAAATCAGCTTCCTAGCACTGGGTACTGAGAAGGTAGAATGTAACTTCTACACCATTCTCTTTTGCTTCCATTTGAAACTTATCATCATTTAAATCGACAGCTGCAGGGGCTGTCAGTCAACACAGTCAAAGCCAGACTTGGCTTTTATTCTCATTCTAAGATCTGAGCATGGCCTGTAAGGGCAGCCTGCATTAAAGGTGATGGTATGGTCCATGCTGGTGAATGAGCCAACTGGTGGTGTGCTCTGTGAATCACTCCATTGGGAAGCTGCATTCTTTCTATAGAAATAATCCTGATCTCACTGTGTCCCAGGAGGACTTAAATGGAACACTAAACCTGTAAGAAAAATGTCCTTCAGATACCTCATCAATGAACTTCTTTTCTTTATTTTAAATTTATTACTATTATTATTATGTTTGTGTGTGTGTGTATGTGTGTGTGTGTGTGTGTGTACATGAGTGCCTGTGTGGTATATACATCCTGTGGAGCATGTATAGTGATCTCTTTCTACTTGAACTTGTGTTCTGGAGGTCAGTTGCAGATCAGTAGGCTTCTGTGACTAGTACTTTTACCTGCTCAACCATCTCACAAGTCCCTGCTTATTTCTTTTGATTAAACAAGCAAGAGACTGTTAGCCTCAGGCTCTCTTCATACTTTTAGTTCTACCTAATAAATGATAGGTTAGTTTAGTATATAAATAGATCACAGACTAATTGGGGGATATAATGTCGAATTTCAGCCAATCATAAGCAGCCAGGTTTAAGGAATCACATGTACACAACTTATGACATCATACCCAAATCAGACATAACACCATGGCCCCCAAAGTCAGATGCCTTGCTGTAGCCAACCATGTGGGTTCTCTACTCCACGACTGGTTTCATCCTATGAAAATCCCCTGCTTAACAGTGCCATGTAAAACTATCTGAGCCTTTTCTGAGTCTGGGTACTGCCAAATTAATGAGTTACCATATGGTCAAAGAAATCATGTTAAATCCAATTTCTCCACACTTTTTCTAACATTTCTATAGCACCAGCTAGCAGTAGACATGACTTACTTCACCTTATCCACCTATGGGTCTGTGGCCACTAAGGACCATGACAAGGAGATCTAGGTTCCCCTAAACCACCCAAGAAAAGAATACCCCATCTTGACACATCATGATCTTGGGTTAGTTTAAGTAAAATAATGACGAGGCTATGTTTTGAGTCTTCTGGATGCAAAATTTATACAGTCAACATAGCCTAGAAAAATGCAAAAGACAGAACTGACACAATCTCTTAAAGGTGGGAGGGGACTTTCCAGAGGACAGCCCTGACTAGCCATGTATTAATTAATTTGGCACAGCTGTGACAAAAATATCTGAGAGAACAGTTTGAAGAGGGGGAATTGATTTCTGCTCGTGGCCTCAGAGGACTCACTTTGTTCATGGTCACTTGGCCTCATGCTGTTAAGCAGGAGTGTGTGGCAAAGGAACCAGAAGTAGGAGCTTTGGATTAGATAAAACCCCAAGGACCCACCCCCATGGTCTAATTTCCCCAAGTAGGCTTCAACTCATAAAGTTTCTACAGCCTCCTTTCCAAGATAGTGACACCAGTTAGGGACCAAGTCTTTAAAACATTAACCTATTGGGGACATTTTATATTCAAACTGTAAGACAACATAAGCAAGTACAAAGGGTAATGAAATTTCCTCATTTCTTATTTGCCTGTGGAGACACTCTGTTGTTGCATCCGTGGTCTCCTTCCTGACCCAGACTTTTCTCTACTGAAGTGTAAAAGGTTGGAGATTGTAGCAAATAACTCCCTTTTCCCTTCCTTCCTTCCTTCCTTCCTTCCTTCCTTCCTTCCTTCCTTCCTTCCTTCTTCCTCCCCCACCCATCGTTTTCTTTCACCACAGTCTCATGTAGCTCAGGGTAGTCTGACACTTGCTGTGCAACTGAGGATAACCTTGAACTCTCTATCCTCCTGCATCCCACTTCTCAAGTGCTGAGATTACAGATATTTACCACCATGCCTTGCTTTAGCCTACATTTCCTGATTGGATGAAACTAATCTCATAGAAAATTAAAAGCAGAATCAGTTTGTGGTGGTGCACATGTCTGTAATCCCAGCACTTAGAGGTAGAGGCAAGGAGGATCAGGAGACTGAGGCAGCCTAGTTTCT